TTGATCCAATATACATATATATAGAAAAATATTGATATTAGCCCAATAGCTCATATGAGCCAAACGGCTTTGATTGAATCTGAGCCAATCTGATGGTTACGATTTTATTTCGTATTTGAATTTTAATATTTTTTTTTATGAATCCAAATAATTTGAAATTTTAGGCATGTATTCTTCAAAAATAGGAGAATCTAATAAAAATATCAAAAAAATAATTTGCAAGAAATAAATTAATCAAAATACCCCTGAAATGTTTCAGGAGTATTTTGGTCAATTTATTTTTCATGAATTATTTTTAAAATATTTTTATTAGGTACGCCTCGTGGAGAAAAATACAGCCTAAAATTTCAATTTATTAGAATTTGTAGACAAAAATTAAAATTAAAATACAAAATACGTTCATGACAGTCAGATACAAAATGCATTCGTGACCATCAGATCGGCCTAGATTCAATCTGGAACATTGGGCTCATATGTTCATATGAGCAAGTGGGCTAATCTCAGCATTATATATATATATATATATAATGCAACGGTTGTATCATAGTATAATGCAACCACACTTGTGGTATTTGTATGACCCAAAATTTTACACACACTCACTTCATCTCAATAATGAAAAAAAAAAAAAAGTTCAATTTGAACCCTAGATATGGTCAAAATGAGTCCCCTCCAACAACGAATCTAGGTTGCATTCGATGAATTTCAAGATCTTAGCCTTTACAAACTTAAAAGCATTTTTTTCTATTTTAACATTATTCATCTAATAATAATAAAGCCATCTAAAAAAATTCTTCAAAGTAATAGATCTAAGCATCATATCAAAATGGACAGCCTATCTTAATTGGGCTAAAAAAATACTGTCTAGATTGTGTTTTCCATTTTATTTTATTTTATTTGTGGTTGTTCACTAGAATGAAAAGAATGTATATTTTAAAATTTGGATCAAATAAATGGCCCCAACATGGTTTTTGAAAATTGTTGCATTATACTACGATACAACTATTACATGAAATCACTGCCCATAGAGAGAGAGAGAGAGAGAGAGAGAGAGAGAGGAGGAGGTAGGTTAGGTTAGTTAGTTATTACTTATTACTTATAGTAGACGATAGTAAGTAAGAAGAACGACGTACTACCACGTACGACTACTTACTTACGTTAACGTAAA